GTACAAAATGTCGGACTACTGATATGTGATACGGATAATTGCAAAACGAGCAGCATCTGTCAAAATTGTTCAAAGCTGATATTTGTAAATAACCTCTTACACGAGTTTTTTCTAAATAAGGTATCTGTTTCCCCAATTATAAGCATATATTTCCGATACACGGGTCGGTGTCCGCGTTTAATTCCTGGAGAGGAGAATCTTCACCTTTTCAGTACTTCTATGAAGGATGAAATTAGATGTTGAAAGGGTTTACTGCACTTTATCAATTGGTTAATCATTTAATTGAGCAATGTGGGTTTGTTTTACCACTGCTACTGTTTCAACCCCTTGGGTCAACCCCCTGCTTGAATCGGCCAAATAACTCACACAGGCAAATTGAGATTTTGGTGTCAGGGATAATAAACTTAGCCTATCAATTGCCCCTGTACATACCCGGATCCATCATGTACAAATCGGACGGGGTAAATTATTCCAATGTAATATTATTTACCCTTAGCCGAGCAATATACCCTTTAGCATCTCAAAAACAGTGAATCAATGAATCCAAAATGATCAATGATTCATAATCAAATGGAGCAGAAATGAAGATGTAAAATATTCTCATCATACGTACCGAAAAGTGAACGTATATAAGTATTTTATTTTATAAACGATTTCCAGAAAAAATGTTTAGTGTGATTTTAGGATAGAGTTTTTGAAAAATGCTCCTTAACCTATGATTAAACTTTTGGTTAGGGGTTGGGGACGCTGTCACATACTATATCGATTCAGCAATTTGTGGAAAACCTTCGAAACCATGGTAAGCAAAGTTGTTCTACCCCAGCAAATTGATATCATTTATAAAGTTTATCAAATGGCATCTGCAATAAAGTGCGACCTGTAACACGATAAAGGATTTTCCAATCTGCTGTTTTAGAAAATAACGTTTATCAAAATTATAGACATAAATCAATGAATGGACTTTGTGGAGACCAAGAACTGCAAAATGTAACTTGTTTTCCAATAGAGGAACGTCTGCTATGATTCTTCTTGATGTATAACGTTCCGTTGAATTACATTCCTTTGGATAAGTTGATTCACTTGGATTCATTTGGACATTGTCATCTTGAAGAATTAATAAAACAAGAAAGTGTTTTCCTACAGCAGGTATTTTACTTTCATTTCAAGGTTGACATAATCAACTATTTAGTATTTCACGAGGGGTCGGGGGCTTGGCAAATTTCAGGTTTGATAAAAAATTCTGCACTTGCGCAGAAAAAAATGTTGGGCCCCTAAAATTAAAAAGTGAAAAATTGAGGCCCATTTTCTTCAAAAGGTTTAAAATTAAATAAGGCCTAAAAAGTTAAAAGGCTATGTAATGGACAAAAAGGCCCATTTTTGATTTTTGGGGCCTCAAGGTCTTCATTTTGGTCCTAAATATCCCCAGATCCGCCAGTAAAGTTACACTGCCAACTAAACCATGGCATCTCATTTCTTCTCAGCCCTGAATGTTCCAGAAAATGAATCAGAAAGATGCTATGAGTATCAGAATATAAACACATGACAGATGCCAAGTCCAACTAATATTAACCTCCCAACTAGAACTTTAAATATATCTCACAAGCTATACAAAACTTCCAAGCAGTACACACTCCTAGCTACTTCCTCCGAACGCAGGGTTCCAGACATCATTCACTAAGTTTCTTCCTTCTTCCTCTTCTTCTTCAAGAAGAAGGATGTGCGAGTTCTGGAGACCAATGTTCGGAGGATGTCCTAACTAATACTAAACTCTCAACCAAATCTATTACCAATGCTACTAAACGTGTACTAAAATCCCAACTAATACCAACTCCTAACTAATACTAACCACTCAACTAATACCAAACTCCCAATTTATACCAACTCTGAATTAATACAAAACTCCCAAACTTGTACTAAAATCCCATCTAATACCAACTCCTAACTAATACTAACCACTCAACTAATACAAAACTTCCAATTTATACCAACTCTGGATTAATTCAAAACTCCCAAACTAATACTGTAATCCCAACTAATAGCAGCTCCTAACTAATACTAACCTCAACTAATACAAAGCTCCTAATTTATACAAACTCTGGATTAATACAAAACTCCCAACTCGTACAAAATTTCCAACAAATACATAACTGTCAACTAAATGTATAGAACCTTTCACATGTTTAGGTTATGGGTAGTGATGCTATTACAAATCCTGTATAGAAGTCAACATTCCTTGCCCAATGATGTTACTTTAATGTTACATAAATCTAATTAATCACCCTTCAAAGTGTGTTCTCCAAGAATTAAATCAAATGTCTTTAAGTGTCCCATGGGCACTCCGCAATATACAAATGGACACCAACAAGCCTACGAACAGTTAGAAAATCTGTATTAAACCCCTTAATTGCCGCTATTCTGCCGTTTAAATCTACAAAATATTAGGGAGACATGTAATTTATCTCCCCCGGGACAAGAACTAACGACTCATTTGCGCTTTCTGGCCTGCTTATGTTAGTTAGCTCGGGTTATTATTGCTAGTCAATCTTTCAAGTTTATACCGTGACCGAAGGCACCTCTCTGGAGAAAATATGATTTATTGTAAAATATGTCGACAATGACAGACGCTGGAATTTGCACCACAAATAGCAAAAGGATATTAAGAACTGAATATGTAGTCGTCTAGTTTACAAGGTTCCATGTTCATATTTGTCCTAACTGATAATAGGACCTGGAATTATGTTGAACCGTTACGAACCACAATTTCAATTTTGTATAAAATAAGGTCAGATAACGTAATCAAGCGGAACAACTGTTTTATTTTTGACCGATTTTGAAGAGCTTCGTAAAAATCCGCACAAATAGAGGATTAATTTGACATTAATTTGACTAATCTTCTTTTAGATTTTATATCATTTGTCTAAGACTTTCGCAATTACTGTAGCTCTAGTAAATGTATTTAGTTTCTCCCCGATGAATATTGTGAGTTATTGTGTTCTATTGACCATGGCCGTGGCATTGCCCATGAATTTGGACAGTCTTGTGGCCATTGAGTCTAGATTTTGTCTGCTTCCCCACATAATCTTAATGTTTTATTTTGGATGAGTACTGCACTGGTAACTACACCTGTTTTCGACGAACACACATGGTAGTGTTTGTCTTAATTTGTTCTTAAATATTATAGACATTGCAATGATTTCAGTATAAATGAAATCTCCCATTGTCTTGTTCTGGATTGCAAAACGTTTCCAAAATGGTGTGACCGGAGGACATATCCTTACATTGTTAGTTTACATTATGTCACAGATCATGGTTTGGGATTGTGACTGGTGTTTGTTCTCTTTATGTTCAGTTGCGCTCAAAGCGCTCATCGTATTGTATTGTATATTGCATTTACTCTTTGGGCCCCATTGGCCCCTTTGCTTAAACATCTTCATTGTTTTTGTATTCAAATCCTTTTCAGAAGTTCATATTTTTTATGTGCATAACCAACTTAGATACCTATTTTCTGATTCATTTTCATGGAGCATTCCAAGGTAATATAACATGCACCTTAGAGCATGTGGCTGTTTTCTGCTAATGGCACTCGCACCTGTGTTCATGATATATTTTGGTATGTTTATTTCTGTTTTTCTACATTTGAACGATTAATTTATGAAATAAAACTCGCCTCAAAACACTTAAGGTGATCCACAGCTCTAGTTTTTGATAATCCGCCTAAATTATGAACCATGTACACGATCTGATGATTTAAGATAAAAAAAAACGTCAGTCAAAAATTATATTCACCACCGGGATTCACCAGCACCCCCTCACTCCAAAATATATAAAAATCGATGATGTTAAAAACTATCATGACATTTGACTTTCCCCACGATACGAATAACTCCAATACGTGATAAATTGCGTTTAACGTACTTAACAGCAAATACCGAGGGGCCAATTCGATAGAGCATGATTTTGTCTTACAATAAAACCCCAATGGGCAACATTACAATGGTTAAAGAACCTTTACACATAGAACATAATAAATCTAGAGTGTTTAGTGTTGTTATTGTACGGATATGGATACAGATAAGCGACCACTTTGATATTAAGCGGTTGAACGGATGGCTAATTGATGGCGGCGACGTCGCCATCGACATCTACTGATAACTTATGTTTACAAATTCAAATATAACCAAATAAACAATGTTATCCTACACTCAGTGTAATAAATGTATGATAACATAAAAAAATAAATTTGATATAATCTATTATATATATTGGCAAAATGAATAACCGGAGGATATCGCTACGATTTACTTCGGCAAACCAATATGCGGGGGATATTGTATTGTAACGATATACTCCGTTTGTTGATTTTTGTGAACAATTTTCAATGATATAATACATTTAAGTACACCGATTGAAGTATAATAAGAACATCCTAAGGTTTTTCACAATATCATTGTAGTCTACTCGGTGATCGATATTGATATCTGCAGTCGTTCGCTTCGCTCTCTCGTGCAGATATCAATATCACCCCGTAGATAAAATGATATTCCTCAAAATCATCAGATATCCTATATACAGTATATCTACCAGATTCCCTCAGTTTGATATCGTACTACAGAGTTATGATTTGATATAAACCACATTATACATTTCCTTAAATATATATAGATTTCCACTTATAATTTCCCGATGACGAGTTTGTTGTACACAATACAAAAAGTCCCTACATGTAGTGACTAACATAAATAGCGAAAACATCAATATCAATAGCAATAGTTTAAACTGTATACAACAACAACAGTTTGTCAAAGTTCATCAATACATCGTCACAAGATTGGCAAAACAACATGCAATCCTGAATACCTCCGTTGGTTGTTTCTATATTCATTGCCTTATTCATCGTTCACTGATTAAATGCCTTCCCAGTGTTCTGGGGTATTGTCTCGACTTCGATCGTAAGCCTATAGCCTCACAAGCTTGTTATAGTCTGCCACTTTTAATTTAGACATCATTCTACGACTATAGAAACGTAGAAACGATAGAAAGTACAATCGGAAGTATTTCGCTGATGGGTTTAAAACCAGCTATTAGCGGTCTTAGTGGATATACACCTGTGTCGAGAAAATAACGATTTCTGACAGATCAGGATACAAATAAACCCAGAAAGAAATAACTTGTTTGCTTAACTAAGACGCAAACCGATCGACAAGAATCTTATTGGACAAATGTAATTTTCCTGGGATTTTAATGATCAGAGAATCGGTGATTTCTTTCATACAAGATGAAGTAGACATTGAACTCTGGTTCTCTGAAATAGAAGGAGTCACTTCTGATTAATTTGTTACCATATTTTAACAATAAGGATCAGTTTTCGATGGGGTTTTTGAAAGATTAATCTGGCCTAGCGATAATTGGACATACGATCTTTCCGCTACTTGATACTCACGATAGAGATAGCAGATTTAGCAGATAACGTTGGATCGGAATCGAAGGCCAAAACATACTACTGAGAACTGCTAACAACTTGTTTGAAATTGATCGTAAAAACAAAATCATTATCGCTAAACGAAGGTTACTTTGCAACTTACACTTTTAGGTAAATATGGCATTGCTATTTCAATTTGGTTTGTAATTCATGTATAAAGCGTTTTTACAAGTATTATTACCATAATAACGATTCTTATCTATGATTCGATCATTTAATCTAATTCATATCATCATTTTTATATCGATTGATAGAATTTGAGTACCATAAAGGCGTGTATGATATGACACGCAGTTTTTAATTAAAACTTCTTCCATAATAGGATTTGATGCAGCTTTTGTGTTATACTACGTTGATGGGCAAATCATCATGTCTCATAAGATAATATTGTGTACAGTAGCAGATGATAGGAGATAAATCATGCATTCTGAAATAATGGTGTGGAATTTCTAATGTGATGTAGAATACATTTTAACCTGCCCTGAATTATAATCTCCAGTTTTTATGTCACCACCACAAATGGTGACATATTGTTATAGTCTCCAACTTTTTGTAGACGGTGTTCGGCGTCTGTAACAAATGGCGTCTGTAACAAATGGCAGGTGGTGACATTTTGCATATTGATGCCTTGTCAATCTGAAATGAGCCTGATCTTTAACGGAAAAAGCGTTGTTGATTGCTGAATAATCTCTATGTTAAACAATTCTTACTCGTCTGGGTTCGACTCCATTTTATAATGTCAATTTACTATGATACGAACTACATCAGCAGATGACATATACTAATTAAATTCCATACATCGTGTTATTAGATCCCATTATGTTCGGATTCTTACTGACATTAAAGTATACGCCATTAGATAAATATTCATTATGGTGTATAAGAACAAGAATAACGTTTAATTAACAACTCCGGTTCGCTGCATTGAGTTCAATCATTACTTCTTCCCAAGCAAACTGATGAGTATTCCATACTTATCAATTAATACGTCCTACGTAACTTTCAATTGAACTTTTTATTGTATGGCGGCCATCTTGGATATACGAGCATGAGATAATTTTCGTACAAGGATGGCCTTTGAAACTAATATCCGGTCTCCATCCAGGGCCAACTCTGGCCCGTGGATATGTTCTTCTTGAAAAGTTTTACATATCAAAATTCAAATTGTGGTATTTGGTGAGTTTTTGAGTTTGAGTGGCTTTAATTTCGAGGATGGCGGCTGGGTCGTAGGGTCATGTATCGAATCTTTGCTCTTGGTTCTTTCGTATCTCAGAAGCCAACATTTTTCAACATGATCACGCCTGAATTTAATTAATTAACGACTAACGATATTATCATTCATTACTTTAGTCCCATGTGAGATCATCCCTTTGCATGACATCCATCCATCGCGACATTCGTGCAGAATCTTGTCACCATAGTACACCTGATGACTTCTACTGGAAACTCTTAGAATTCAGTTCATTAATAAAAGCATTACATGGTACACTTTTCTGAAAGCTCCATTAGTGAATAAGAGGTTTTAGTTATGTATTTCAATTCTGAAACCTAATATATCTTTTAGTCTTGCAACTAGCAAGGTGATTTCAAGACAGAGAAGAAGGAAGACGACGTGGTTTATGAATAGGGTTAAGTTACACGTTTTTAAGACAACATATACGTGAGCGTATAATATTTAGACCCCCGGGTAGTACTGCCCCGCTCTCAAGTCAGTTTTCCAGGGTCCTAATTACAACTGTTATCCGTATACCTCTAAACTCAATAGGCTAATTAAATTTAAACAGTGTACACATGGGAGAACTAATCCACAAAGGACGACCATAATTCTCACGTACAAAGTTCACGTACACATTTTTCTAGAAAACGTGTGTCTTAACCTCTCTAATGTATATAATGATGCTCCCCTGACCGGTGCGAGATTGCCATTCATCATGCTCAAAGGGCGATACACGAAAACACGAGTAAACCTTAACACCATCCATCTTTTAACATGTTTTAGAAACACTCAACCGAAATTGAATCTAAGAGAACATTGGACCATTCTAGAGGCAAGCCTATTTTCAATTAATTTATTGTAATACATCCATCTTATGAGCAGACATATGATATGATTACTAAAATATTTATAGAGGTCCATAGGATCAACGCACGTGACACTGAGCTAATCCACATTCCAGATATATTCCCAAGTTTTGATATGTAGATATTTCTCTGCTCTCACAAATGGTATATGGAAATAGAGTGGTATGGGATTCGAACTACAAATCTATGGTCACGGATAATCATAAAAATCCGTTCCTGTACTTGTGCTCTTGTAATATAAAATAGCTGTATTTTATAATTAGACAACTCTGTTGATCTGCTCGATATAGAGAAATACATATGCCATAGAAACAGTTGGAACGGATAATCCCAAGTAATAACGCCATATCTTTCAAACCATTTCTTGACCGCAAAATTGCATCCGGTTTCATTCCCTTGAATTTTTCAATGAAAATCTACAATTCAGAATTTCATGACTTCTGCCTCGAAACGTCCCTTTAATTCCATTGCTAATCTGACGTAATTCTATCTTTCACTTCCTATAATATTCACATGGTACTTGTACAGCGATGACGATTGTAAGATTTTGCATGGGTGCATTGGTTAGATTGAATTACGCTTGGCAGGACACAGATTGCTGATCTAATCTGCCAAGTGAATAGAAACTAATAAAATATCTAGAATAGAGAAAACAGCCAAACAGAGACAGTCATTGAATTTAAAGGAACTCCGCCCCTTACTTTAATCCCCTAAATGGAAAAAATAATTCCATCGTTGATTTAGCTCATTTTTAAAAATTACTTTTGGTGTCCATAAAGTAGGACATTTCAGAAGTTGACTTGATGGTATATTACTGGGACTGGTATGGTATTTATCATACGTGTCCAGCCCTGTATACCTCTAGTCCCCGAACTCAAACATTTCTAGGTGGGGAAATAAATAGTACAGTAAGTAGGTAGTAATTACATACTAGCCTCTGGGCTTCAGGCTATATAATAGGAGCCTGAATAAAGTAGAACAAGAAGAACAAGAAAGTGTATGGCATATGCTCATATGTTTGACATCGATTGGAAAGGCTTGCATTCACTTCTGGTCCAACTCCTACACATGGCAATGCTAAACATGCAATCGTGAATGGGCTTCGGGGCAATTCCACAATCAGAAACGTCAAATGGAATCACGGAGACACGAAAGTCTTGGGACACGAGGAATTTATACTGAAGACTTTGGCTCTATCCAACCCATTATACAGGGTGAGCCAAAAAAGGTAACCCAAACAAATGTATGTTAATAACTCAGTCACTCTGCATGGGTTTAAAATCATATTTGGCTCAATAAACCTTGTTCAATGTTCTTTCATTCTACTAAGTGTCATTCGTCTATACCTATAGTCACGATTTTATGGTCATTTACAAAAGATGCTCAAAATGCCGAAATGTGCCTCACCGACTGGACATAAATCCCACCAGATTTTATACGAGGGCCTATACCCTTGAAACATTGAAACAAGAAAAAAAGGAAGATGAGAGCCATAACACAAGATGTTTATGAACGTGTTGTGAACAACTACGCCCCGGATACGTTCATGTTGGCCTCCAGACATGACGCCCATATTTTATGGCATGTTTTGTAAAATGGCCATGAAATCGTGACCAGAGATAGACCACTGAAACTTGGATGAATGATAATACATTGGACAAGGCCTAATTGTGCCAAATATGACAGTATTTAGATTTGTTTGGATTACCTTTACCATAGATTGGCTCCATATGTTTCGCTCGATTTATTCGAATTAAAAACGATTTTCAATAATTTTCAAACTCAAAACCACCATCAAAAACTTCATATAATAATCATAGTAATATATATATAGTATAACCCGTGTCATTTCGTAATAAAATTATATACACATAAGAAAAACTTCACTGATTATTGCACTTTCAATCAACCATCTTTTGCTTTCTTCCCTACCTTTCCACCAGCGCCATTTATGAGGTTTCACTTCTGGGTATTGACGTAATATAGAAATAATAATGGGGAGTTTAAGCTTGCACTGATTTTCACAACCTAAACGTGAACGGAAACAAATTTAAGCGATGTATATGTATGCGGGCGATTGGTCATACGTATAGGTTGGCGGTTTGATTTTATATGCAAGTTTTAACTCCCTAGTAACTGAACACCGTGAACATTTCGCCAGCGCTTTCACCCAACCACAGTATGACGACCAGATCTTTTCTTAGGTAGCTTTTCTTAGTAGCTGACTTTTCAATTCGCTAAATACATACGAGCTCAAGATTGGAAATATAATACAATGAAACAAGGAGCTTGACTTAATAAGAATTTTGTATTAACACTCACAATTTTCTGAATGATTCAGAACGTTGCTTATACTTCTGAAAAAGTTCTTCCTCGCAGCGTTTACTCAGAAATCATTTACAGAACAGGCATCTCGATACATTTCTACTTAGCAATCAAGAAGCGGACATTGTGTAATAATAGTAAGTTCGCAAGAGGCAGATATAAAACAATAAATCGCTTATTAATCGCACTGATTAAACCATGATCAAACAGTATGCCAGTATGAATCGTGGGAAATGAGCAGACATTAATTGTTAATGCTCAGAGTGCGCAATGAAATGTTCAATCTACCTTTATAATGATAATACATCACAATGCCTGCCAATACCGAGATCGATTGTATCCATTTATTCTCTAGGACTGTATAAGCATCTTAGAAAATACACACTTCGAGATATGAGTTATGCAACTATTAACTATTTAATAAGCTATAAAAGCGATGATATTTACTAGAATGATGAAACAATGGGATTAGAACAAATGTATACATCGATTAGCCTCCGTAATCTATGCAATTTAATGTATTGCATGAGGCTAATGGCACAACTATAATTGCGTGTAGAAATGTAAATATTGATGTTCTCGAGTATTATACAGATTCAGCGTCGATATAAAAACTAAAAGGTTGGGCCATACTTGTGCTATCGTTTTCATCTGTGAAATCTGCCAGATTATAAATGCAGTTATATACGAGGATGATCTCTTTT